GGCCATTCACAGAATACACTTGTAGATTGTAAGCCCTCAGGGGCAGGGCCCTCCTCACCATCTTGTCTTGATTTGTATTGTGATTGTAATGTCTTCCTTATATTGTAAAGCGCTGCGCAAACTGCTGGCGCTATATAAATCCTGTATAATAATAATAATACACGGCTTCCTGTGGATGGCCGAGGGGAGAAAGGGACACACACGACACACGCACTTATAAACGTCAGAAGAGCTTCGGTGTATGAGAAGCGCAGATCACATATCTGCAGCGGCCGGAGGTACAGCGAGAACTTTACTACGTGGATATTATAGGGCAGAGCAGCGATCCGGCCACAGGGTGACACGTCTGCAGAGTTAGCTATCTGAAATTAGAAGAAAAGCCTTTGCCATGAGGTCACACCGATCAGAACCACAGACGACTGTTCTGTCACACCCTGCCAATGTCTGGTTTCAGATAGGCATGTCGTGTTAAATGAACTTCAAAACGGACTCAGAAAAACAAAACCGGTTGTGTTAAAGTGACATTAATCCCTCAGATTTTTTAACATAAACCAATACTGTAATGTGTGCATTACTGTAATCCATTGTAGTTTCCCTTCTCTTTGCTGCTCTTCCTTTTAAATCCTCATGTCTTCTCATGCTGGAGGAGAACTTCCCTTTGCAGCTCAGGGCCTCTTCCTGTAGTGCTGGCTCAGGTTGTGAACCTTCACACAGACACCATGTATCCATTTCAGAGACAAGGCAGTCTGCTGCAAAACAGAAGTTCTCCCCCAGCATGAGAAGAGATGAGGATTTAAAAAGAAGAGCAGCAAAGAGAAGGGAAACAACCATGGATTACAGTAAGGCGCACATTACAGTATTGGTTTATGTTAAAAAATCTGAGGGTTTAATGTCACTTTATTTCTGTTGGGAGGCTACATCATGTGCGCCATTGGTTTTTATTTTGCCCATGCTTCGCTTCCACTTGAATGACCAAATCCTTCCGCTCTGAGGTTATAACGGATGAACAAACGTTTCCAACCAACTGAACTGACTGATTTGGTTTGCACATGCACATACAGTCCGATTCATGTCCCAAGTCTCATTCATGTCGCGCTATCTTACGACACGCGGTCTCCTCTTATACAAAAGCTCCCGTCATCCCTCAGACGCTCCTCTACGCGGCCGGAGTTTCCGGATTCGGTTTAGTGTTCCTCACGGTTGGGCCTTAGTCTCCGGGAACATGGTGCGGAAGGTCAGGTTGATGCGAGGTTGCCGGTCATGGTATTCTTTAGGCACGCGGTGCTGGCGGAGAGTACCAAGGGTACAGTGATTGAAAGCAAGCTGCTACTTCATAAAAAAATCATATAGAACAAGAAAATGAACACAAGAAAGCAAGGCCGCCTGAAATGTAATCTCCCCTACAATCTGGAGTTGTCACCTGCAGTACATTCATTCCACCACAAGATGTCCTCGGTCTTCCAGGCTGAAGAGCGCTCCGGGACATTCAACCCAGAAGACTGAGGACATCTTAAAGTGACATTAATCCCTCAGATTTTTTAACATAAACCAATACTGTAATGTGCGCCTTACTGTAATCCATGGTTGTTTCCCTTCTCTTTGCTGCTCTTCCTTTTAAATCCTCATGTCTTCTCATGCTTGGGGAGAATTTCCCCTTTCAGCTGAGTGCCTCTTCCTGTAGTTCTGGCTCAGGCTGTGAACCTTCACACAGACACCGTGTAGCCATTACAGAGACAAGGCAGTCTGCTGCAAAACAGAAGTTCTGCCCAGCATGAGAAGAGATAAGGATTTAAAAGGAAGAGCAGCAAAGAGAAGGGAAACAACCATGGATTACAGTAAGGCGCACATTACAGTATTGGTTTATGTTAACAAATCTGAGGATATAATGTCACTTTAAGGAATAAATAGCTGTAATGGCCCTGCCCCCTGAAGGGCATCACCACGATGCCCTTTATTCATAGTGTATTCGTGCAGAGAATGGCATGGATGTCATCGCGTCAGGACTGCTCTCATGAGGACCGCCCACCACTGGAGAAGATTGGGAGAAGCAGAAGAGCCTGCATGTCACATGACCTTCCTGACACTGGAAAAGGTATAGAAAGTTGTGAGGGTGGAGGGGGTTGTATATTATGGCGCGGGAGTGGAGTGGGTTGTATAGTATG